AGGCTGATCTAAAAGTCACAAGACTATGTTAATGGAGTGTCAGGCTTGAGCAAAAAGGAGGGAGGGAGCAAGGAGCAAAGCACTGATTTACTGATGCTACTCAGGTTTTGGGTAAGGCTTGGCTGCATTCCATCTGGCTTGGCTTACTGGCTTGCTCATGGAGTAAGTGTACTTCAGAACCCAGCTCATCTGGGAACAGCAAAAGCTCCTTGACCAACACAAGCAATAAGGCAGCTCGCCAGGAGCTCGTAGTAGATGAGAGCATCCCCTTGTTGGAGAAGTCTGTGATGGTTATTCAAGCAAATACAATGTGTTTCCTTTAGGTATGCAAATGTGGTGATTAGCCATTGATGGAGAAGTGCTGAGTGTTGGTAGTTCTAGTGGTTCAGGTCATGAACTTATGTACAAGTCACAGAAATTATTGTCTTGGATGTCGTTAATTATTGAAGTATGTCAGCAATTCCTCTGCCCTGTTTTTTACTGCTAGAATTTGTTGAAGAGAGTGTGCAAACACAGGTGACAGAACAAGCACCTACCCATTCAAATGCATATAATATTTTATCCAAAGTGTTTTTTAAAAAGCATTTTAGCATTATTTTCTGCTCTGCCTCCTCAAAACTCTTTGGGGAAATGAATTAAAAGTGCTGCCATCTGTTTATCTTACATGTAATACCAAGGGCAAAAGAAGAGTGCCAGCAGTTTTGAAGCAGCATTATATATTTTTGTTGTTAAAAATACATGCTAAGGATATAGTGAGTACTAGTACGTTGGTTCCACTTTTGTGAGTTGTTGCAATGCTTTTTCAACTATATTTTAGTCTTTTTATCTTAAAACAACTCTGTGTGAAATCTGTGGGTGATAATCACTGGCTGGAGATGGCATTATCTGGGAGAGTTATTTTGTTCTAGAAGTAACACCAGGCGCAGCAGCGCCTGGCTTCTCGCTGGGCTCCAGTAGCAGCTGCATTGGCAGCTTCAAAGGTGAAGTCAGGCTTCTCTCAGCTGATGCTGATAGATTCCCTGGACTCTTTTCCATTCTCTTGGATGTGAATTTCTGGGTTTTGTCTTTGAATTAGTGGAGTTCATCCAAAGTTCTTTCCCCTTCGAGCAAAAAGTTGACCAAAAGAGGAGGTGTGTTGGTCGTTTGTTCTGAAAGGGGATGTTTCTGAAAAAAACGCACCGAGCACCATCAGTTCATATTTCGTTTTGTTTTTAAAGTACTCTGTGGAGGAAGAAACAGCTCTCCTATTTCAGACAACATTTTTTCCCTTTCTTTTGTTTCTTTTTTTCCCCTTTTTTTTAGCAACAAAGCAGTGTTTTCACAAAGACAGGCAATCTTACCGGTAAGAGTTCTGATAGAGGAGCACATGGGGTAATTCTCTTACTTTGATCAGTTGTGCTTGGTTTCTCACAATATAAATTGATAGCGGAATTGCTTCTTATTTCTGCAGTGTAAAATTAGTGCAATTAAGATGATTTTGCCGTCTGTGCTATATTATTTACTGTATTTCACTTGACTAATGGAGAAGACAGAAATCACCCTGCAGGTAACATTTTGTAGTTCTTGTAATATATGGCAGATATTGAATGTCGAGGCTGTAAAAGGGGGGAATTGGATATTAGAGAAGATAAATAAGAGTGGGGGAGGAGACTGAAGAGGAAAGACAGTATTTGCGAAGACCTCGGGGTAAGCTGCTTTCAATGTACTGTTTAAGCTTTAATGACCCATATACAAATTTTAGCAACAAAGTAATGGCCAACTAGAGGAATTAAAGGCCTCAGGTGATGATCTGAACAGCAAAAGCTGTCAGAGGTCATAAATAGTAGTACAGCTCGACACAGGCTCTGTTAGGAGGTAGATTTTATGTTCCCAGTCTCTCTGCGTGTATGGTCATTTGACAAGGTTTGGGGGAAGAGCTGGTAAAAGCTCAATTACTGCAGGTGAACTCTTCTTGGAGTTCCCCCTCGGTAAAAGTTCTTGCTTCTGGTAGAAGTTACCTTTTGGAACAGTTGTTCTGATTATCTGTTGTTTGTATCCATACCTTTTTCAGCAGCAATTTTTCATTATTGTTGTCGTGCATTATCCCAGCCAGCAGCTAAGCTACCACGAGGTTGCTTGCTCACTCCTCCCACTCGCTAGGGTAGAGAGGAGAAAACATTTAACAAAAGGCTTGAGGGTCCAGACAAGAACAGGGAGGGATCACCCACCAAACATTGGCCCCAGGCAAAACAGACTGGGCATGGGGACAAATCAATTTAATTCGTTAATAGTTAATTCACAGAGGATAACAAGAAACAAAGCCAGATCTTAAAAACACCTTCCCCCCACCCCTTCCTTCTTCCTGGCTCTACCTCCTCCCTGCACAGCGGCGGAGGGGGACAGGGAACATGGGAGTTGCAGGTCCGTCTGTCACATGCTGTTTCTGCTGCTCCTTCCCTCAAGGAGGAGGACTCCTCACATTCTTCCCCTGCTCCAGTGTGGGGCCCCTCCTTACAGGAGACAGTCCTCCATGAACCTCTCCGACATGGGTCCTTCCTGCAGGATGCCATCCTTACCCATCAGATTACTTCAGCATGGGCTTTTCCCATGAAGTCATGGCTTCTTAGGGTGCAGCCACCTGCTCCAGCATTGGGTCCCTTCCCATGGACTGGAGATGCATCTCTGCTTCACCATCAGTCTCCAGCAGCGTGGGGGTGTCCTTCCCACGGAAACAATCCTCTATGACCTGCCTTAGGCACAGGCATCTCTGCTCCAGCTTGCAGTTCTCCATAGGCTGCGGGTGTATCTCTGCTCCGCCGTGTCTCTCGTGTGCTGCAGGGGGGCCACTGCCGTCTCACCACGGGCTGCGGGGGAATCTCAGCTCCGGCATCTCCTCCCGC